TCAGCGGTCGTGCGATTCGGATACTGTTCTTTCGGTAAATAAAATTTTATTCCTCATTTCTCTTACTTCTATCTCCACCGAAATTCATCTCTCATACGCCTATATTCCCTGTCCTATAATTGAACTCCATTGCGCTTCATGTTTATTCACTATCATTTTCTGGTCATGCTTTATATGCATACTATCTATGAATATATTATATTATATTATACATTTGTGTAGTTCATAATGAACTTTGGTTAAGGGCAAACTAATAGCCGAATCCATTTATTTATGTACTAATCTTTTAGCTCTTGCTTATCCGAAATGAACAGAGCTATGCATAAAATGATATACAAATTGAATTAGTTATTATAATTATATTTTGGTAAATTCCCCTTTTCTCTAGGTGTCGAATGCATTCAGCTGGGCTTTGCGCCTTACTTTCAGTGCATCTCCTGTCCACGTGGACATAAAATCAATGGCACCACCTGCCATGATGTGGATGAGTGTGCGCTCTATCAGCCCTGTGATGGATTGGCCGTTTGCAAGAATCTCAATCCGGGCTTTCTCTGCGGCCCCTGTCCGCCTGGCTTTGATGGCGTTCATGCGCATGGTACTTGGATTATTTAATGAAAATTAAATTAAAAATACAAATAATAGTAATTCAACTAACAAATATTTGTATGCTTCATAGGTTATTCAGCGGATTACTTGGCCGTGGGCTTTCAAAAGCAAACCTGCTTGGATATAGACGAATGCAAGTTGGGCTTCTTTAGATGTCCGGAGCATGCGACTTGTCAAAATAGCATTGTAGGTATATTCTCAGCGAAAGCAAATGGAACGCCAGGTAATAAATAATCTGTAATCTTCTAGGGCTCCTACAGATGTCAGTGTCATGAGGGCTATGTGGCCAATGGCACCTTCAGCTGCCTGTCCGCGTCTGAGCTGTGTCCCGATGGCAGCATCTGTGCCAGGAATGCGGAATGCGTGGCCCTCGATAACTATAATTATCAGTGCCGCTGCAGCGTTGGTTGGGCGGGCAATGGCAAGGTTTGTGGTCGAGATCGGGACTTGGACGGCTGGCCGGATGAGTCGCTGAATTGCGCGGAGCCACATTGCCGACGCGACAACTGCCCCGATTTGCCGAACTCTGGGCAAGAGGATGCCGACCTGGATGGCATTGGCGATGGCTGCGACGATGATGCCGACAGCGATCAGGTGCTCAACAGCAAGGACAACTGTCCGTTTGCCTATAACAGCGATCAGATGGACACGGATCACGATGGTGTGGGCGATGCCTGTGACAACTGTGTGTTCATACCCAACCGCCGACAACTGGACACCGACGAGGATGGCATGGGCAATGAGTGCGATGATGATATTGACAACGATTCTGTCCTAAATCAGTACGACAATTGTCCGGCGCTGCGGAACCCAAATCAATCTGATCTGGATAACGATGGAGTGGGAGATGTGTGTGACAATTGTCCCACGATTCCGAATCCAATGCAGGAGGATCGCGACATGGATCTGGTGGGCGACGCCTGCGACAGCGACATCGACGGCGATGACGATGGCATACAGGACTCGGAGGATAACTGTCCGATGGTCAGCAATTCGGACCAACTGGATACAGATTTTGATGGCAAGGGCGATGCCTGTGACGACGACGTGGATGGCGATGGCGTGCCCAACTATAGAGACAACTGTCCGTTGGCCAGAAACCCAGACCAATTAGATGTGGATCACAATGGCAAGGGCGATGTGTGCGAGGACGATGAGGATGAGGATGGCACGCCCAATATAATCGACAACTGTCCAAACAATTCCATGATACATCGCACCGACTTCCGCACAATACGTTCAGTTATTCTGGACCCAGAAGGCGATGCACAGCTGGACCCCAACTGGGAGGTGCATGCAAATGGTTCAGAGATTATACAAACCCTTAACTCCGATCCGGGCTTGGTCGTTGGCAGCGACTCCTTTGGAGGTGTTGATTTTGAGGGCACTTTCTATGTCAACGATGATACGGATGACGATTATGTTGGCTTCATATTCAGCTACCAGAGCAATCGCAAATTTTATGTGGTGCAGTGGAAGAAGGGCTCACAGACCTACTGGCATTCATCGCCCTTCCGGGCGTCCGCCGAGCCAGGCGTCCAGATAAAGCTAATTGATAGCAACACGGGACCGGGATCCATGTTGCGTAACAGTTTGTGGCATGCTGGCGATACGCCGGGACAGGCAAGGCTACTGTGGAAGGATCCGCTGAACGCTGGCTGGAAGGAGAAGACCTCGTATCGCTGGTCCCTAGTGCATCGGCCTACCATTGGCCTCATCAGATTGCGGTAATTTGGCAAAACACAGTATTTCCACCTCAACCAAGCTCATGAATACATCTAATTTCACTTTAGTATATTTGAGGGCGAACGTTTGATTCTGGACTCGCACAATGTGTACGATGCCACGCTTACCCTCAAGGGCGGACGTCTGGGCGTTTTTTGTTTTTCTCAGGAAATGATTATATGGTCGGACCTGGTTTACAAATGCAACAGTGAGTAGCCCTTTGGCACTTTTGTCTTGCCATCACACATCAGCTCATCAACTCTTTCCCGACGTAGCTCGCGTACCGCCCCTCATCTACAACGAACTGCCCACACATCTGAAGCTAAAAGTGGAATTGGAGAACTAAACATAAGCAAGGCACAGTTGTTAATCTGATTATTGGCATAAAGGTAACTGCCATAGTTCTTGATCAAATCAAATAAGTAAGATATTAGACATTTGTGGATTTTTATATATATGTATATATATATGTATACATTTTCACATGTGTTTTTATAGACTAACCAATAAACATCTAATTCATATTTGTTGGTGCTTTTGATCATGCCAATTGATCTAGTTGCCCTTTGTTATTTTTAAGTTCCAATAAACATACAATGTCAATGTCTAACTCTAAACTATATTTTATCTTTTCAGATTTTTTCAATGCTTCAGACTGCCATGACTCCAAAAAGGCATATTTCTACAGGATCTGCCAGCTTAACCAGAATAATCTAATACAAATAAATTGAAACAAATTATAATAAAATAAGCTAAAATTGAAAATTTTAATCGTAGCATTTAAGAGAATACAAATAAATATTTTAAATAAGATTATTTAATTAAATAAGCAAAGTGTAGTATTTCGAATTCGAATCAAAAGCGACGAATTACAATTGACTAATGACATACTTGATTATTCCATATCAAAGATGTAGTCCTGGTGATCCCAAATGACTGAATTCTTGCGAAATGTGCAAAAATATGGTACAAAATGATGTATGCTTGTATTTCTTTCAGCCATGCCTAATAACAGTACCTCACACTTTCCCATGGCATCTAGTAGACTGCTATATCCTTGGTTAAATCATACCATTCATATAGTCCTAGTGAGCCTAAAGTCCAATTTCTTGCGGAATTGCCATTAAAATTATCAAAAATATGCATGACTTCTTTTTTAGCACTTGTTTTTATTATTATCTGATCCCCTAGATTTCCGGAAATGTAATAAGCTATAATAGTCTGCTAAGATAGGGGAGAATGTAATTGCTATATAAATATAATTCGTATTAAAGACATGTTGCCACTGCATGCTGCAGTGAATCTTCAGGAGATTTTGCCTAAGGTAACAGAAATCAATAGCAAGACAAATGTTCAATAAACAATAAGTTAACTGGTTAAGGTGGTGGCACTGTTAACTTAAAGTGAGTTAACAGAAGTATTTTAGCAAAAATGTAACTGACAAAATTGTTTAAATTCGCTGTTAATTATAAATAGTGTCCTGTTATGCATTTCTCTGAAGTACCAGGCGAGCAGAAATGAATAGAAGGTTGAAAAATGTTAGTTAACAGACATCTGTTATTATATCTTGTAAGTATTTTAGGAATCAAATACATAATACAAGAAATATGGTAAAAATGTAATTTTGAAGATCAATAAATGAAGCATTTGCATAAATGAATAAAATCAGGTTTTCTAATTTAACGGGCAAATTTGCAGAGAATTTATATATTCAAATTTTAACGAACACATGTTAAATAACAGCACCCTAGCAGAATTCTGTTACGCCTCTGTTACTTAACAGTATCTTAACAGAATTCTGTTAATTAACAGTATCTTAACAGAATTCTGTTAATTAACAGTAGCTTAACAGAATTATGTTAATTAACAGTATCTTAACAGAATTCTGTTAAGGTGCTGTTATTTAACATTTTCGACCTGCTACTCATTCCTGTTCGCCTGGTACTTAAGAAGAATTTATTATAAAATTCAGTGGCCAACGGCCACAACAGCTGCCCCGCAATGCTATGCAACAACATTTTTTCAGTGCTTCTTTTGTTCGTTAAAATTTGAATATATAATTTCTCTGTAAATTTGCCCGTTAAATTAGAAAACCAGATTTTATTCATTTATGCATATGCTTCATTTATTTACCTTCAAAACTTCATTTTTTTTCTTATTTCGTATATTATATATTTTATTTTTAAAATATTTACAAGGTATAATAATATTTGTTATTAAATTGTTAAATTAAATATCGTTGAAATAACTTCCAGACCTGTTGGCATATACGAGCTCGCGGCAGACCCACTCTGAAAATAACAAGTAAGAAAGCTATACATACTATAAATAAAAGAAAATAAATAATATACATAAAAATAATTGGTTTATAAAAATTACATATTTCTCAGTCTATATTTGCAAGGATACGACCAAGGTAAGTTCAGGACATAAATTTAATTTTTATTGCCAGACTCTGCAGCTGAAGTTTGTTGGTTAATTCGTCCAATATTTTACATTTTTATATCAAATCTAATTAAGTTATTGTTAGCCGAATTTATTTTCTTTAAATGTATATGTATTACAAATGTATGTGTTGACTGTGTCTTACAGTGCACATTGAAGTTTTAGACGCTGAGCAACCCTTGCCAGCCAGATTGCCATTGTATATCGTTGAGCTTGTGTCAATTTGACATTTTATTCCAGCTCAACATATCAGCTGTGCAGGCCTAAATTTTAAGCATTTTAACAACAATAATTTTCGACTAAATATCAATAAAAAAATAGTCTTGCTATCCAAACAGTCTGAAATTCTGTCAGTCTTGCAACAAATAGTTCAGGGTAAGTTATTCGTACAAACTTATAAGGCTAATTAGCAGTCATGGGAATTGTTCGGCCATATATGTAGTTATCATGGCCAGTTGCGATGTGCAAGCCACTCCATCGGATGAGAATAAAAATGAGGACCCAGCGCAAGGCGAAACGAAGGCCGAATCAGTTACTAAATTCGAAGCACGAATTACAAAAAGAGGAACTGTCCATCAGCCAACGAGGATTCCGGGACCCGTACGCTTGGATGAGAACGGTAGCTACATCCAAACAAGTACTCGAAAGTACAACTCTCTGATGAAGACGCTGCAGACGAGGAGCGAGATGGACGATAGTTTCAGCAGCACCAGCACACTGGTGAACACAACTGAGGATTCTGGCGTCCAAATGGATTGCTCAATAACTGTCGACGACAATGATTCCAGTTCTGAAATTCTAACCCAGTCGAGCAACTCCACGCCATGCGAACAGCGCAGCTCGGAGACAATCGCGACCAGTGGAAGTCTGGATGAACTGGAGGCCGCCGAACAGCAGACGTTGAGGGTGCTGCAACGCGCCGTGGCCGAAATGGAGGCAGATGTCGCATTGCACGCTGAGATACTCGAAGAACAGATCAAGCTTGAGCTGGAAAACCAATTGAATTTACACATTGAGAACGAAGTCCAAAAGGAGATTGAAAAGACGCTGATGCAACAAACAATGGATCAGCAGGAACAGCAGCAGCAGCAGCAAGATGAGGAGCAGCAAGAACACCAACAGTCAGAAACGGAATCTATTCAGGAGCTTGAATTTGAGCTAGAGCTAAATCTGCAGTTGATGCCGGAGCTAACAAATCTCCAATCGGATTTCATCGATCTGTGTCAGCCCCTGGACGGCGAACAAACGAGCAATTCATGTCCCAGGGCTGGCACTCGCGACCGAAAGCACGTGCGAGTGGAGGAACTGCTTGAGGCAGAGCATGACATGGAGCTGCTGCACAAGCTGCTCCAAATCGACAACGATCAGTACACTGGAGAGATGGGTGATCTGGCACAGCCCCATGAGATCCAGTGTCTGCCCGACCTGAATGCTGGCAGGGATATGCTAGTCAACCTGGATAGATTCACGACTGAGGACGGGTCTGAGTGGCATCGAAAGCGAGTGAGCATCTTTCAATCGCTGCTGCAGATTTTCTGCGGAAACCACATCCGCAGACTGAGCTACCCCTTACTATTTTGTGGCATGGCTGTCGGTTTGATTTATTACTTTCGTAAGAATTAGGGAATTGTAGGCGTACACATTTTAAAATTCAACCACACAAATTCCTGAGCTTTGTATATGCACGACGAACCGCAACAAAATCGAACTCACCTTGAGCTCTCAAAATTACATTTATTTTTATAGAAACCAAAAAAATAAAAAGAAAAAAAAAAATACCAAAACAATAGCAAAAATATCGCCAATACAGGCACAAATCCGACGACGCTACAAAAACTCCCAAAGTATAAATCACTGTTCTCGGAACTGAACAAAGCTATTGTATCAAAATGATATATATAGTATATAGTCATATATGTATGTATATATATTGTAGCAAACACCCAAAAGCAATAAATAAACCATCAAGCGTTATTTTAGCAGTTTCGAAAATTATAAAAAAAAAAAGTAAAAAATGTGTAACTGAGACTTAAATTAAGCGAAGCGTATGAAAAAGCAAGGAATCGCAAAAGATTACCTCACACAATAGATATTTAGTCTTCGGATAATAAATTGTAATAGTGCTGATACACATTTATAAGTTTCTAGTTGCCCTCTTAAGGTAATCAATATTGTGTTTTATATATCTGAGAATTTTTTGGAATTTGGAAGGATGACGGGATATATTTTCACGATGCTTAAATTAAAAAAGCTTCTGCAAAGCAGATAAAACTAAATAATTATAGGGTAGTTCGTCAATATTTGTAGAACAAAGCAATATGTACATACAATGCTGTTATCTGTATAAGAAATATTATATACAAAAATCGAAATACGTATGGCTATGTGGAAATTGTCAATATGTCTTTAAGCGTGTCAAAATGCCAACAAATTTTAGGAAATTTCGGGGCCTAATTTAAATTATTTTTTGTTATTTTGTTTTTTGTTTAAAATCGGGGACAGAAATGGCTGCCATTGAATCCGTTGTGATAGCCGGATTTGTGCATTTAGTAATTCGATTTGCTTTGTATGTAACACCCCAAACCGTGCTAAAGACGCCAGGCCCAGCAACGCCCACGTTCATCATCTGCTTGGCGCTAATGGATCTCATCTATCATACTCGCATAGTACCGCAACGCTTCGATGATATGTCAGCGATGTTTAAGTATGTTTTTGAATCTGTGACGGTCATCTTCCTACTCGAGCTGGGTATGCTGCTTTGGGAATCGATCGAGCATACAATTTTCCTAGTTGTCAAAGGATCGCTACTGTCCATGAAAGTGATCTCGAGACCAACATATTACAAGCAGCAGAACGTGATAATCGGCGCCTTCACTCTGCCGCTGTCTCTGGTGATATTTGCTGCAGTTGAGCAGTCCCATAATAACCAATAGAAAAACAAAAAACAAATAACAAACTATATTAAAGGCATAACAACTTAACTATTTGTCATTAGGGAAGTTCATTGAACGAATTCCTAATTGGGTTTTGGGTGAATGTGGAAAATCGTTGACGTTACTTGATTATTTAATTTAACAGTTTATGTATAAGGCGGGTAAACGATTATGTTTGTAATATTTACAAGTCTACCTAATCTAAATAGGTAATTAATAATATTTTGTGGACTAGGGAGAAGAGTGAATTCGGCATAAAGAGTTTAGGGAGAGAAAGAATTTAACAAAAAAAAAAAATAAATCAAGTAAAGCTTATTCGATACATGTTAAGACTACGAGATCTTCAGGATGGCTTTGTTAAGACCTCCCATGAGTATGGCGGGGGCTAGCAGCACTTAGTTCTGCAGTTGAAGAGTTCAATCTCTTGCAATAATATTTGACTACTTACCGATTTTTTCTACTATTAAGTATTAAATGACTGTTGGGCTCTACCACTGGTTAGTGGCTCTACGCACACTACAGGGCTGTGGGAAGACGGACTAAAGAAAGAGAAAATTATACTAGCGGGTATCACATATGTGGACAACATGCCATTCCCTATTCCATACATCTTTATCCAAGCCATCTGCTCAACACATTCCAATTCATCCACTCTCACAGTGTTTTATATTCATTCATGTTCTTAAACTATTTTTTTGCTGTCTTTTCAATTTTTCTTCTAGGGTGTTTCCCCCTTTTAGTTTCTTCCCAATAATAATTTAGTTTTAATTAATACCTATAGAAGCCCATATACTAAAATGTAAGTAACAACAGTATAATTTAATATAATCAATTTAATTAATTAAAAAATAATATAATAAATAAAGAAAATTATTAAATATATTTATTAGCCACAAACTTTCTTAAGTCTTTTATCTTATCGCATTGGCCTTGCTCCAAAGCTCTCAATCTTAGCTGAAACCCAAAAATAATGTTTATTCATTATATTGTTCTAAATACACTTATGTGTTTTTAATATATATTTTTTTAAAATTTGTAGTTATTTTATTATAAAGTAAGTAATGACCTATGGTCTTACTGTCTTACTGTCTTGTCACTAAATATTTACCTTATAGACATGGCTTCAATAGAAGCTGTTCTGGTTGCCGGCGTGATGCACCTCGTCCTTCAGTACTCTCTGTATATAACGCCACTAACGACCTTTAGTATGCCTGGTCCCACTCTGCCCACATTTATTGTCTGTGTGGCCTTATTGGATATCATCTACGCAAATCACATTGTGCCACTTTGCATGGACGAGAGGCCCCAGGTGTTCAAATATATTGCCGAATGTTTGGTAGCGATCTTCATACTGGAGGTGGGCATGCTGGTCTTCTGGCACACATTGGAACATGTTGTCGTCATGATAGCCAGGACCCTGCTGCTTGGGATGGAGCTAGTTAGCTCGGAGTATTATTATGATCATGAGGCTGTTCTGATTGGCGCCTTCACAGTGCCGGTATCCCTGATAGTTCTGGCCACCATAGTTAGCTTCACCAATCATATGCCCAAGCTCTGTGATCGCTATATGTCCAGACAGATGCAAGTCCACTTGCACCTTGATAAAGCCGTTGACTTCCTGAGCCGCTCCGATCGTTACAAGGATAGTAGATTTAGGAAGCTGCTCTGTACATATAATGCGAATGCAGCAAAGGCCCATAATCCCTCCTGGGTTAAATACTTTCAAAACGAAAAATAACCCAAATATATTCATACAGCTTTTTACTTTTCAAATAAACATAGGCATTTTTACAAAATATGTATGTATTCATAATTATTAATTTTATTTATTTAAATTACAAAATAACGACTATATTTGATTTGCTTTTTACAGCACTCGCGAATTTTTCAACAAGTTTGGAAAATATATTGCAATTTAACGCTCTTAATTTTCATACCTTTCTGAAGCAAGGTAATAAGGTATAATAGGTATTTATAAAGTATTTATTTTTTGTTGTTTCGTATAGGTAAATAATACTTAAGATTAAAACAAATTTACTCATAAGTTCGACTTAATTTCTGTTTTTAGTTATTTTCTTCTTTCATATTTAAAGAGCACATATTGGAGTTAACTATTTCTTAAGATTTCTCTTTTCATAAAGCAGCTTTCTTTTAATTTTTTATTGTTATTTTATCATTAATATTTCGTTCTTTTTTTTCTTGCATCATAAGCTTTGCATTAAGCCGCGTAATTGCAGCTGATTTTCGAAGGTTACAAAAAAATATCTAAAGTGTGGACTGCGATTACGGCGATTCAATGCAAAGCTTTTGCATAACGCTCTCAATGAGTATTTTATGATTCTCTTCCTGGGGGGCAGTGCTAGAACTTTGCCTCGTTGCAGTGCTGAATATCTATGACCACAATTTACATTAAAGCAGCTATTTGTTTTTCCTTTTTTATAAGATATTCTGTTTTTTTTATTTTTTATATGTATTATTCTGTATATATTTCGTTGTTGGTTTACTGCACTTCGCTATCACTGTCACTCTTTTCTGCAAATGAAAAGATGAAAGACGATTTAGTTACTTTGGTCTACAAAGAGTATATGTTCTATATATGAATGTACCTTTCTTGCCCGTGTAAGCGTGACGCTTCAGTCGATCGTATAAGTCTTCTTTAGTTCCATAGAGCGACGCATTGGATCGTGCCAATGTGCTCATTTTGCCACCATGTAGACCTAGAGCAGAAAAAGAGAAAGATACGGAGACGGAGAGAGAGAAGTTAGAAAAAGTTTCACAAAAAGTTCCGGTTGAGTATGATGAATCTTAAGTAATACGATCATCACCCAAATCATCAGATACACTTGTCCCGATTCCGTTTAAACAATTTCAATCCAATTCTATTCAGCTAACACGATTTCATCTAATATATTCCCATCTTACAAACTGTCATCCTACTCTATTTCTCCATCAGCGATAGCGCTTTAAGTTATTTATATTTTATTTTATATATATTATTTAAATAATCAAGCCAAAGTTAAAAAATAATACTTTCGCTTACCGTCTTTCATGTAGGTTTCGTTGTAAAAGTTGGGCATCTCCCAGCCATCCTCCTCGTCGTCGTAGTAATGCGCATATGTGCTGTGATGCGAGGGCGCAATGGACTCCGCGTATGGCGTGTGGGCGCCATAGTAGAAGTTGACTTGGGAGCCAGTCTGATCGATCGCAGGCGCCAGCATCTTCTTTGGATCTCTGCGCTTCGTGGAGCGCACACAAATCATCCAAATGAGCAGCACAATAATTATGATGAAGATCACAGCACCGGCAATGCCTCCAGCTATGTAGGCGAATTCCGAGCGCTCGGCGCAATGGGGTCCGGTGAAGGAGCCGATGCAGCGGCAGGAAGGCGTGCCCTTCAGATCCTTGACGCAAGTGCCAGAGTTCTCGCAGTAGCCATCACACACATCAGTGCATGCCATGCCAGTGCCGTTGAAGCCCGGCTTGCACTCGCACTTGAAGTCTGAGGTCTCCGGCTCCATAATGCAGTACGCGTTGACATCGCAATGGGGTTTGCCCTCGGCGATGTGCTCGCAGGGATTGGTGCACTCGCTCTTGGAGGTGGCTCCGGTGATCTTGGTGCTGTGATTGGGCGGGCACTGAATGCAGGTGGTTTGCTGAGACTCGGATTGATAGAAGCCCTTGCGGCACTCAATGCACATATTCAGTGTTGCATTGAGATAGGTGCCGGGCGAGCAGACGGGCAGTGTGCATTCTTCCACCGAGCTGGCGCCCACCTTGGGTGTGGTGCGACCCAGCGGACAGGCAGCGCACGAGGGCTGCACGCCCTGCAGACGATAAGTGCCACGTGGGCAAGGCTCACAGCGTCCGTCGGCGCCCAGCTGCTGGCCAGAGCTGCACTCATCTCGGCACTCCTTGCGGGACGTTGCCTCCGTGGAGCGTGTGGTCTGGCCCAGACCGCACAGCTCGCAGCTGAACGCGCCCTCGTTGGGCTGGTAGAAGCCATGGCCGCAGGAGCGGCACAGACCCGTCTCAGCATCGAAGTATTTGCCGGCCGGGCAGCGCTCCTTGCAGTCAGCGGCAGAGCGGGCTCCCGGGCCAGCTGTAACTCCCGGACGTCCCGCTATCGTCGGGCACTTGCTGCACTGCTGCTGGCCAGTCTCGGACTGATAGGTGCCTCGAGCGCACGGAATACACGTCTTGTTGGCGCTGTCGTAGAACGTGCCAATGGCGCAGGGCACACAGTCGGGTATCATGACCACCTGGCCGACGGGACAAGCGTACTCAGAGCCGAGCTCTAGAGAAGCTGGATCGGGCACGGTGTTGGGCAGAATATCCTGAACGGCAAACTGATCATCCTCCAATATCAATTTCTCCAGCAATTGTTTCACATTGGAGCGCTCGCCCGTCGAGGTGTGCACCACAGGATCGCTAGAGTGGGAACCGAACAATGTGAGATTAGATTCGTGTTCTATAGTTGGACTAGGTCTAAGATATTATCAGTTGGGTTAGCACACAGAGAACAAAAAACCCCATGTGAAGTTAGCTTGAAGCATTAGACAGAGTTGCATTGTGATTGAGTTGGTTGGTTGGATGATTGGATTAGTCTGATTGACAGTGGCTAGTACTGAGGTGCGGAATGCTGGAGATCGGGTGCAGATTTGAATCGTTAAACGAATGTGGATGCTTGACATACTTAACAGCCGGGAAGGCTATTTCCAGCGTGTATGTGTCGCCGCCAGCTTGTTGGCGTCCCTGGCGACCTGTCAGCGCCAACTCGTCATCATCGCTAGAAATTGGGGTTAACGAACACATATTCATATACATACATATAACACAGAGAGTACACATATATACATCAAGACAGAGAATCATCATGCCAGACCGTAGACCCCCAGACCCCAATTTACTTACTTGACAACTGGCAGTTCGGCTTCCATCACATAGACACCGCCATCCTTCACCTGACGACGCACACGATTGTTTTGGGCGGCGCGATAGTGATCGCACTTGACATCGATTTGAATATCCTTGCACTCTCTGCACAAAAA